TTAAAGCTTCAAAATTAATATATATCGACAGATCTATGAAAACTTGAAAATCTTGAAATTGACGGTCAAAAAATGCGTTACAAAATACACTATGTCCAAAACTTGAAATCCATTTTTTTATCATGTTCATGCCTCTTGATTTCGAGATGATCAATTTGAAGATATTTGGGCATCAAAACAACCTCTAATAAAATTTTTGATGTAGGGTCAAATATGATTGTTTAGAGACTCGGCTCTATATAATTTTTTCCCATAAAATTTTATATCAAAATCAATGTCACATCTTGAGACAGAGAACCTAAAAGATGCCTTTTTAAATAGAATATTCATTTTATTCCTTTTTGCTTATTATCTTGGATAAAGTAGTATAGACCATGCCTAGGGTGCTCAAGTAGCGTGTTGAGGTGAGGAAATAGTGGTCTTCCTTTTCGAATTTGTGCAAGAAATAGTGGTCTTTCTTTCTATATTTCAAAAGCAATGGAAAGAGAAAAGGATGAGTTTCTATAAGACCTAGGCTTTATGAAAACAAAATAAAATCTCACCTCAAAACCTCTTTTGGAAAGTATTTTCGGCATCATAATTCTCCATATGGCTTTAAAATCAATTTTTCAATTTCAAAAACAAAATTTAAAGCTGAAAAAAAGATACAAATATCTGCAAGATCTGTAAAAACTTATTTTTAGAGCGAGATGGATGGTCTAGATGATTTTTTGTAATATAAATTATTTTTACAGCCTAAAATCCTAATTTTTTTTTTCACAATCATAATGCTGAAGCCGAGATGATCCATTTAGAGGTTTTCCAATGCTTGAATTACAATTTAGAATGATAGGGTTGCAACCCTATAAAACCACTTTCCAAGAGGAAGAGAAAAAGCCAAGTTTCTTTCCAAGAGGAAGAGGAAAAGCCAAGTTTCTAAGTCTTAAGAAGGCAAAGGCCAAGTTTTTAAGTCTTAAGAAGGCAAAGTCAACACCAACTACTTCACAGGGTTAACCCCAATGATTTGAGCTTGGTTTATTAGTTTATCGTCAGTGGTGTGATTCCAACTCTATGTTCTCGAGTCGGATGATCTGTCGTATAGATTCAATAGAATAATATTTCAAAGGAGAACTAAAATAATTTTGGGATTTTTCAGACCAAAATCACTCACCTAACAATCATGACCATATCAAAATAAATAATTTCTCAACCAGTGATTATGTGCTTTTGATTTTTCGGAATTCCTTGCCTACATGGCAACCTTAGAGACACGTATCGAACATGCGATCGTACGTGTCAGCTGATGTCACTATTTTCTTGTATTTGCAATTATCCTTGAAATTAAAGTACATGCGATCGTACGTGTCAACTGATATCACTATTTTAGTATTTGCATCTATCCTTGAAATGAAAGTTTGCTTTTAACACGTCATTGGTTCGACTTGCAATGCATACCATGCTCATAGTGGGAATGGAACTCCTCACCATCTATTCTACACTATCACTTGTGCTATGATATCGTTATTAGTTGTTAAATGTTAAAAAAAGGACAAAAATGTTCACGATGCAAACTGTCACTACCTGCATTAAAAACACTATCACCTCTTCAACCATTCAATTAATATCATATAAAATGGAATATTATACCATATAGTATAATATTTAACGATAGAAAATAAATATATGGACATGTCTTGTTGTACTGACTTTTTAGACTTGTGTATTAGAACTTAAGACACTTGTAGACACCGACGCTGGAACAGTGTATGACATTTGTATTCCTTAAATAAAGTTTGGTCCAAACTTTTATCACTGGTAGACTCAATGAAAAAATCAATCCAATGGTTTTAATCCTATTCTAGACAAATTGGATTCACAAAATGATTTACTCTTGACTTGATCTCTCTAGAAAAATCAGCAAATAAATTTGAGCAAAAATTACCTCAAGAAAACCTTACCTTGGCCCTAATTTTGCCAAGTACGGTCACTTATCTTTGAAACTGGATTAATGTCATAACAATAATTTAATTCAAATTGCTAGGATTGTTTTTCTCATGGGCGGCGTTTTGGTGTCGCCGAAAGCATCTACCATAGTGTCTCAACCTTTTCACAATCTACATTGGAGCTGGATTGAGAATCCAAGCTTATCATCTCAACTATAACAATCATGAATCTGAAAAGATGAAAGTTGACCGTTAGATATAATCCATCTTGTATCACTTTTTTAGACTATTAAGATGAAAGTTGAAGGTTGGATATAGTCCATTTTGTAACACTTTTTTAGACTATTCATTTCAATTGTTTAGAGATCAACAAAATCTATACTGTCTTTTGAGCTCTAAATTCATGGAAGAGGCGGAAATATATTTGTCATAGTTTAAGATGTCTTTTGCGTCCCGTGAAGCCTTGAAAACCAGTCTGAGTTGGTACACTAAAAAGCTTTCCATTCCTTTGTATATTAAAGGTTGTCTGAGAAGCAATCTGGCCAAAACTATTAAAAAAAACAAAAACCTTGGTGGGTCAGGATAGTCCATTATTTGGACCTCCAATATCATGTATCTGACAAATAACATGGATTTAGAGCCTCAAAATCGATCCATCTAGTACTATTGTCCAGATCATCCATTTTTACTTTTCGATTCCTCATAGATAGAAAGTAGTGCACTATTTTCTGGAGCTCCAGTGCAAGCGATTTGGAGTTGAAATGGATTTGCAATGGTTCGAGAAGCGTTTTAGGTCCCAAGTCCATAAAGACTATGGCCCCTATTTACATTCACAAATTTTTGGCCACAGCAATAAATGGAGCCCCACTTATTGGCAAAAGCCTCCATAAAGGAGGCATAGAATGATAAATTTTTCTATGTGAAGTTTGATAGTTTGAATGTGCCACAAAGTACGTGATAATTTGTTTTGAAGTTTGCGTTTGGTCAATGAAATAATTGTACCATCCAATTTCACATTCAATGGTTAAGATTAATTTCTCACTTTGTACTAAAAGTAAATGATCTCATTCTACACTTTCTTTATATTAAAAGGATAAATTTGAAGCTTTGCCCTTCTGGATCAAAAAGTAAAAATAAAGAAAAATTATAGATACTGCCTTTACACTTTTCCTATTCCTAACACTTTTTAAATCATAACACTATTTATTTATGTAAGTATGGAAATAGTCTTTTAGAATGAAAATGCACTTCATGTTGGTAACATACTTTCTTTCTAAAGATTTGAAGTTTTAGATAAAAAATATCTCAAATTTCTTAGTGAGAGAAACTATATCAAATTTAAAGTTTTAGAGTGAAAAATTCTCTTACTATTTTTAGATAAAGAAACTATCTCAAATTTCAAATTTTTAAGTAAAGAAACTATCTAAAAATTTTTAGAGAGAGAAACTATCTCAAATTTCAAGCTTAGAGAGAGAAAGTACTTTAAATTTTTTAATGAGAAAAACCGTCTCATGATTTATAGAGAAAAAAACATCTCAAATTTTTTTAGATAGAAAAACTATCTCACATTTCAAACTTTATACATGGGGGTATTTTAATTCTAAAAATAATTCCAAAAATAGTTGATTGTGTGGTTTAAAAAGTACCTACTGGGAGCATACTAAGAAAATATGGTATAGAGGGTTTTATACTTTTCCCTAAAAATTAAAAATACGGGGAGCATACTAAGAAAATATGGTCTAGAGGGTTTTTATATTTTTCCCTAAAAATTAAAAAAAAAATCTCTTACTCTCACATGATCAATTGAAGAAACAACGGATTATGGGACTCACTCTGGTCGACTCCATTGATGCACAATAGGGTCTATGGCTCTTAGAATCTCTATTTTCCATTTATATTTATTTCTTATTTTTCTCCAAATTCCAATTTTGGATTCTAAAACACTACCAAAAGATAATATGTTCCCAAGGGAGCATACTGCCCGTTACTCCCTCAACTAAAACCCAATTAAGGAGTATTTTGAGGTCACTAAAATTTGGGATGTAACCTTTTCAACCCATATTCTACATCATTAAATTTTTTTTTCCAAAGTTTATTGTTTGTGGGCTTGAAAATTATGCTTCCTCAAGATTACATCCAAGGAGTTTAATTTTTAAGGGAATGTCTACAAAGAGACCATTTATTTTTTTATATATGGAAGTCACAGATCATTTTTATCCCTTAAAATTCAAAATGGGCAACTGTAAGAGTGTCATTGAATAGACACAAAGTTAAAAAAAAACAAATTCTCTGATTTTTTCAGTCACTTCAAGCCATCCGATTTGATATCTAATGAGTGAGAACGATTGTAACCTTAATGTACAAAAGATAAATGATATATTTGTGAACATCCCAATTTGTAAATAGTGAGATATAAGTATTATAAGCCTAAAAATTCAAGAGCTAAAAATAAAAAAATTTCCTTTTGAATGTCTAGTGATTTTCTAGTGGTTTCTAAAATTTTTGATAAAAAAAAAATCTCCCCCACTTAAATGTTTTGTTTGTTCGAGCAAAGTATATAGTACGCTCTCACAAGAGCATAGCTTACGCGCCAAAAAACTTTTTTTTTTTTGGAAAATGGTTTGAGCAGCTCTATCAAAATAAGTAGAGCCTCATCTCATAACTCATAAAAAATTGCAGTTCAAATATTGAAAAACCTTTACATCGATCATCTCGGCACTAACATTATAATTGGAAAAAATAAATAAATAGAATTTCAAGCTTTAAAAATAATGCATATTGTAAAAAACTATCTAGTATATTTTGTCCTAAAAGTAAGTGTTCATAAATCCACAAGATCTCTATATTTTTTGAGTTTCAAAATTTAGTGTGGGCATTTGAAATTTATTCTAACGTTGATCATAAAGATTTGCGTTGCTAAAGTGCTCTTCGGACACGGATATAAGATGAGGCATTACTTTGTTTTCATAAAGCCTAGGTCTTATAGAAACTTCATCCTTTTTTTTCTTAATGCTCTAAAAATGGATGGATATGGTCATTTCTTTTGTTTTGATGGCTATTTACGCTTGTATTTTGTCTCTCTCTAATGCTCAATTAATCTGGCCTGCTCTCCCTTGAGGCTATAAATTTCGCACTGGACCATCATCATCATCGTCTCTCTCTCCTTCCAAATTCAAATCCAGATTCACGATTAAAATCGAGCTTCAGGCTACTCTCACAAGTCTCAAGAACCTCTCTCTCCGTCATCAGGCGTCGGGTTCCGGTGTTGTGGCTCCTCACTGGCGATGGACTCATCATTTTAGACCCTAATCTCTGTCTGTATACAATTTCCATACACAACGCCGTTATATATCTAAACTCTAGATCTCTCATCCTTTTCAAACCCCAAGAAATGCTCCTCTTTATGCGGTGCCATAAATACCCAATTCATCATCTATCTGAAAACTCTGTATCCATTTCTCTCTCTATTCATGGTGCTCTAGTTTCTTCACACCTCAATTTTTCTGATCATGTATTAGAGGGATAATAAGTATTTCACCCATTGTTCTTTTCTCTCTCTCTATTTACGTTTTTGTATAATCTTGTATCTCTCTCTCTCTCTCTCTCTCTCTCTCTCTCTCTCTCTCTCTTGTTTGCTTGGTGTCTTCATTTGTATTGATTCCTTCTGAAGTAACATTTGCAAAGTACCAATTCTCTATCGAGGGAATATTGGGGTCCTTGAATTAGGTTTTTGGTATCTGCTGGTCGGGATTCTATTGGCCAAGGTTCGATGGATTCAATCCAATGAATCACTTATGATACCTTCTTTTGCTTTAAAAAATCAATGGTAGCCTTCTTATCAGAAGCACTAAATTGCAGAAACTGGTTTTGGGGTGTTCCAATATTCACAAATGAGATTTGGGAAATCCTTGATACCATGTTTTTAATGGTGGGTAGGGCTCACAATGAAGGTTAAGGCATCCTGGTCCTCATCGTACCTTCCAAACAATCTAACAATGGCAGCTCCAAGAATTGTGATCACTGATGTTGGGAGGCAAAGGGATGAAGAGAGTGCCAAAGAAACACCCACAAATAAGAAGCCCTTTAGTGGGAAACCAGAGGGGAGGTTTCCATTGTCTCAATGGGAATTAGCAGCTGCTTTGAGTGTGGTTTTGCTCTTTACCATGGGTTTATTTTGCATCTACTTAACCATGCCTCATGCTGAATATGATAAGATTCTTAGGTTGCCCCGCAATCTTTCGGATCTCCGAGTCCTCAAGTATGTCTTCTTTTCCCTCTCTTTCATTGTTTTAGGTTTTCCATTGTTTTGGTCTTCATCAAAGTGCCATTTGTTGATAGGAGAATCAATTGGAACTCTCTCTTTCTATAGTTTTTTGGGGTTTTTTACTTTCTTTTTCATTGCCCCAATTTTTTTTTATGGGATGATAAGATTGGGGCATGTTATTCTTTTTGTATTTTAAGGGATAAACCTTGTTTCTAATGTTACTATTGTTAATTTGGATCGGATTGGAGTATGTTATTCGAAGTTGTAGTTTAAGGGATAAAATTTGTTTCTAATATTACTATTGTTGATCTGGTTGGGTTTCTTTCTATTTACATGTCCCATTTTCATCTTTAGTGCCTTTCTACATTGGGTTTATTTCTGCAATAGCTATAGATCTTCACGTTCTTTGATTATTGGCTGCTTATGATGAAATATTAATTGGAGTGTCTAACGTTGGCTTGTATAGTTATTACATCTGCACATCTGCTTATGCAAATGCAAAGAATACATTGTTTGTGATTGATTTGGATGCTATTAAGTAGTGGAGATAATGTGCACTGTGATCAGTGATTATTCTAGAGAAGAAAGCAAACAACATAAGGAAGTTATCTCACCAGAAGTCACAATTTGATTGCCAACTTGGACACAGAGTCAATATTTCTCAAAAAATGCCTATTTGGACACAATAAATTGTGAATCTTTGAGGTGCCACCCAAAAGATGATTGTTGGGCAGTTACTTCACTATTTGTTTGAAGCTAATTGATCTAAAGGAAGTGGTGTTCTTACGTACCAGGACTATTTTGGATGCCTTTGGCCTTGAAATGTTTGTTACCTTGCAGTTGTTTATTGGAGCTGTGGTGATACTCTATTTTTAAGTCATTCATGCTTTGAGCGATTTCTATGTTTCTAAACTGGTTGTGAAACACGATAATTCAGATAGAGTTGGATCTTTCTTTTTTTTCTAAGCTGAGCACAGTGTACAGCATGAACCTGAGCTTTCAAAAAGAAGCACTACACTCTGCTTTCAATTAGGCTATAGCTATATCGGTGTTTTGAATCATTTTACATGAATGATTTATTTGTAGATGTGATTGAATTGATATGCTTGCAAAGAAAAATAAAAATGACGAGTGATGGAATCTTCGTTTTTGCTCTCATATTGAGCTGACTAGTTGGCATGGGCATTAAATGGTTGTCATAGCATGCAGTTGCGAATTTATAGAAAACTGTTTAGTGAATGTATTTGCTGACCAGTTGGCATGGGAATTAAATGGTTGTCATAGCATGCAGTTGCCAATTTATAGAAAAGTGTTTAGTGAATGTATTTTCTCTTACGGCTTTCCTTTTTGTGTTTCAATACAAAGTCTATCATTAAATGGAAGAGAACTTACTCATGTGATCTCCCATAAGCTCTAGCTGGATCTCCTCCTGCAGTTAGAGTCAAGAGTCTTACTTCATACTGGTATTTTTAAGGAGTGCTCCCAAATCACCCTGTTTCTTTACATCATGGATACGTACTTTCTAGGCTAATTACCTTAGAATTTAATTTTTCTTGTATCAGATAAAATTCTTGGCCCCTATGCTTTTCTCATGTGTATGCTTCTTTTTCTAATCAACACTATGCTTCCTTAATTGGGAAGGACAGTCAGACTGCTTTCCCTAATGAGCAACCTCACAGCGGAAGCAGGTAATCCTCCAGCATGCAAACCATTATTGCTAAGACGTTCTCTTGTTAAGCTCCTATCTTTTAGATGGTTATGTTGAACCATTGAGTGCCTTTTGACTTACCTTCCTTCTAGGAAACTCATGAGACTTCAGCTCGTAAATTCTTTGTTAAGCTCTTATCTTTAGATGGTTATGTTGAATTGGATAACCATTGAGTACCTTTTGACTTACCTTCATTCTAGGAAACTCAGAGACTTTAGCTGGTAAATTCTTCCGGAAAGGACTTCTAGCTCCCACAGTTCCAGATTTCATTAGATTCTTGAGGACCTTAGTACCCAAACTAACTTCATAGGATTGCTTTGGATATGTATATACTCTATGGAGTGGACACTTTTTCGCCTGAGGAGACCCCACGCGAGATCATCCACCACAGAGAGTAGCTGTCCCTAACCATTGTCTCCTTGTTAGTGGGTATGCTGCTGAGATTTTTTGAATTATCTCTGGATCCTTAAGTTTACTCCAATTGCTGCCTGGGCCAAATATTGGCATATTATTCCATCTAATATACTCATTTAGATCCACCTTCTTATTTTCCTGCATTTGAGCATCAGTTTTTAGATGGTAAAAATCGAGGAAAGTATCTCTTGGGGCATTAGCAGAAGCAGGAACATATGAATAACTGATTGTTTTTTTTAGAGACCACCTAATGGTTACCATAGCATGGTGTTATTTTTTGGGTCAAGAATGGCATGCTAGTGCAAGTTTTTTTCTATTGAGCATTACTTGCTTATTTTTAAGCACAAATCAGCTTCTCTAGGATGCTTAAGCACTTTGTTATCACAATGTTTCGTTGGTTTAGCATTCTGCAATGTTGCATGGACACAGGTACATGTGTCATTGTCTGATATGGGCTCAGGCTGTTGGATTCCTTGTTCCATGAAGAAGAGGATTTGACAACATGGTCATATTGAAAGACAACCAAAATCCAACAATGTTTTACTAATATTCTATTTCATGATGAATAGCAAGAATTAACAAAATTTTCCCTTGATTGGCTTAACCTGGTAGATATTTTCAGAATTCCGTAGAAATTTCAGATTTCAGGTGTCTTCTAATGTTGTTCAATGGTAAATAAACAAAAAGAAGAATCTGTCTGTATGCATGTCAGTAGGTGTCCGACATGGGTACAGCCCCCAAATAGATGAATCCATGCATTCCTTCTCTTGAGCACTTCTACCCATGCTTCTGTGCGCATTACTGTTTTACAGTCACCAATCTTTCTAATGTTCTCAATCTTATGAAGCTCATCAGTCTCATATAACTCTTTTACAAGGTGACATAAGTCCATCTCGGCCATTGAATTGTTCTATTGAAATTCCAACACTTTTCTTGTTGGTCTAATGTCATTTGCCTGCTGTGATTCTGCTTTAGATGCCATAATCACAGTAGAGCATGAAAGTGGTAAGCTTGAAATAGAAGTTGCTTTTTTTTTTTATAATGGATTAAATAGGAGTTACCTATTGTCTTTTTTGACATATTAAGTAGAAGTTGTTCCTTTGATATATTAAATGGAAGCTGCCATTAATTTATATTTGGTGAGGAAGCACCTTGAAGGAGATTCCAAATTTGAAGGGCATCTGTGAACCTTGTTGCCAAAGAGGCAATCCTGTGTCTATAATCTTGGCTTTGTGGTAGGCATGTCAGTAGGGTGAAGGAGGTTAAGGGTTCAAACCCTTGAGCTTTGTTTCAAAAAGCCCAAGCATGCTAACATAGCCTTCTTCTTTTCTTTTCCCCTTTGTTTTTTCTTTTTGTTTTGTGTGTGCACGTGTGTGAGTGTTTGTGTGTGTGTGTGTATGTTAGTGTGCATGTGTGTCTCGTTAATCTTATTTGTCAACTTCTCACCCCTCTTGGCACTAGCAAAATGGTCTCAACTTGTGGTAGTTGTTTAATATTTTGTTAAGTATTAGACAATCATGGTATGCTGAAATATTCGCCTTCTCAACCTCCTTTCCAGACTCTTAAACTGCCTTCTTTTCAGAATTATTCCCATTGTCATCATCTTCATCATTGCCCTTTTCCAATTAATTAGGGTCGGCTACATGAATCTTGGTCCGCCATTCTGCCCTATTAAGGGCAATACATTCAGTGAGGCCATAAGCCCCCATATCTTTTAGACTACTTGCAACCACATCTTTTTGGGCCTATCTCTTGCCCTTTTCGAGCCTTCTACTTGAACTAACTTGCACCCCCTAACAAGTGTTGTACTAGTCTACAGCATACATGGCTAACCCACCTAAATCTACTATCTCTCATCTTATCGCCAATTGGTGCCACACCTAAATTTTTCCAAATAGACTCATTTCGAATTCTATCTCTTCTTGTTTTGCCAACCATCCATCTCAACATCCTCATCTCCGTTACACGCATTCTATGGGTATATTGTGTTTCGTCCGCCCAACCAGTTGTACTTCTCCACTTCGCCCACCAAGCTCTAATTCTGCGTGCGACATCTTCTTCAATCTCTTCATGTTTCTGGACTATCGACCCAAGATATCGAAAGTGCGATCTTTTTTATACTTCCTGACTATCAATCTTAACTACTTCCTCGTCTCTACTCCTATTTTTACTAAACTTGCATTCTATATACTATGTCTTAGTCCGGCTAATTTTAAAACTTATGGATTATAGAGCATCCCTTCAAAGTAATAACTTTGTGTTGACGTCGTTTCGGGCCTTATTGATCAAAACCATGTCATATGTGAACAACATGGACCACGATACCTCATCCTGTAGGTGCCTAGTTAAGTCGTCCATAAAACAAAGAGAATAGGCTCAATGTTGACCCTTGATTTAGACCTATTGCTATTGAAAACTCACTCGTCTCTCTTCTGAACTCCTGACAACGTTGTTTGTTGACTTGTTCTTTGTTCCTCAGTTTAGGTATTTGAATTTCTATTTGAAATTTATAAGAATCCAATTTTTGTTCTTTTTTGGAGTGAATATAGTTCTCCAATTTTAAATTTCTGAAGACAGTGTTATTTGATGTCAATATGTGCCTGTATGGGTTGTCTCTGCGGGGTGCATTTGAAGTACAAGAACTTGTTTCATTTATGCTCTGGTGAAGAATTAGTTGGTTGTCTCAAATCCAAATCCACATATCCTGCCAAATCTGATTTAATGCAGTGCCAGGGGATCCTAGTGCTGCCTCCTTGTATGGATTATTAGTCCCTGGATGGCAACTAATGTGATTTTGTCGATTGTGATGTTCCTTTGTTATCAAAGAAACATCTTGGGGAGCATGCAGGGTGGCCTAGTCTCATGTTAAAAGAGAAGAAGCCAATTTAACGGCCGTTATTTTCTTGTTGGTACTTCAAGTTTTGGGGCCACTTCTTCTGGAAAAGCCATGTCAGACATTACATCACCTTCCTGATATACTGCTTTCCATTTGCATTCACTTCAATTTGCATACTTCTTTTCATTTGATCTAAGAGTTCTCTTTTCCTTAATCATGGTACAGCTGCCTAAACCTTACCTCTAATTTTTCCCCCATTGCTTACCCCATTTACCTCCATAGTGACTTCATCAGATTTTTGGCTTATCTAATCACAAGGTATACTGGTGTGCATGCACACTGTACTTGAGGTGAGGTTAAATGCAAGTTAATCATAGTTTTATTGAGCATGTGATTTTCATCCTGTGTTAATTAAATAGAATGATCCTTTATTATATGAAAGCTTGAAATTTAAATAGCGTGTAAAACAGTTTACTGTTCCACAGTGTCCAAGTTTGGTTCTTGTTATTTTAAATACAGCAATCCCTAGTAATGTTTCTTGGAAGCAGCAGAGAATGATTTTGTGGTGACCCGTGTGGCTGGCTTTGACTTTTATCAACCACAAGTCAGTGATCTATTGTGTTAGGTTATATAACCACCTGGCTAGGTTTTGGCTTCAAATGGTTTGTTGCTGAAACCCCATTGTGTGCCCAGGAAATGTTGATTCATGTCATCATAGGTGTGCTCAATGAGTCTTAAAGAACAATATTGCTATGGTTGTGACATCAAAGAGCGAACAATGCTCCATGAACCTTGGTTTTCAGCACTTTGACAGCTACCACTTTTCCCAATAGATGCTACTCCTGCGCATTCGTTATATTCTTATGTGGCGTTTGTATGTTCTGTGACATGTCTTGATTTTTTATTCTTCTCGATTTTTCTTTGCAGAGATCACCTTGCAACATATGCTAAGGATTATCAAGCACAATTTATGCTTGGTTACTGTTCTACATACATATTCATGCAAACATTTATGATTCCTGGCACCATATTTATGTCGTTGCTGGCTGGAGCCCTTTTCGGTGTCATACGAGGTGTTGCTTTAGTTGTTTTCACTGCAACTACTGGGGCCTCATCCTGTTATTTTCTGTCCAAGTTAATAGGCAGGCCTCTCGTTTTCTGGTTATGGCCTGAGAAATTGAGATTTTTCCAGGCTGAGGTACTTCAGATATCTTTAACTTGGTAGCAGTTCGATTTGGCTGTCTTGATATCCAAACCTGTAACTCTTTCCATTTTGTGTGGGGAAGTTTCCTGTTTGAGTTGTTTCTGTACATGCATTATTGGTCTTATTTATCACTTGAGTGTTAATTTTGAGGTTGATGGTTATTTCTGCAGATTGCAAAGCGCAGAGAAAAGCTGCTTAATTATATGCTCTTTTTGAGGATAACACCCACTTTGCCTAACACATTTATCAATGTGGCATCTCCAATTGTTGATATACCTTTTCATATTTTCTTTACTGCAACACTGTTTGGACTTATTCCTGCTTCCTACATCACTGTCAGGGTGAGTTGTTTATGTTTTACACTCATATTCTTAGTTAATCTTATGAGGAAACTACTGGTAAAGCATATTTTCGTAGGCTTTCATTATTATTGGAGTGAATTGCTGAGTAGAACACGAATAAGGCTTCCTCTACGAAGATATTCATGGGTTTTAAGATCAGAATTCTGGAGTGGATCAAGAAGTTGAATAGTACTGTACTTGTTGAAATTGATTGACCATGTATTGATGTGAAGCATGATAACTATTGATTGTAATTTCAGTTGTTGAATGGATTTATCTATAGGCTTATATACCTCTCCATTCTAGAGCAATTTCTTTGACATTCAGCCATGGCATGAGTGGTAATAGATTCCTGTTGTGCAGATGCATGTAAAATGGTTTTAGTAGTATTATTTATGTTTACTTCTCCACTTTACTGATGTGCATTGTTTAATCAGTCAGTGTTACTAAACAAATGTTGTAGGTATCATGAGGATCCCAAAACTGCTGCATGCCAAACCATTGGTGCACAGATGTGCGACATAGGAATATAATAATAAATTTAAATTAAAAACATAGAAAAAGCTTATCTCAAATATTCTTTTGAAGTGTCCGAGACTTAAAGGGAAGTGCTAATGGTATGTCTCAACACGGCTGATGCTGTCTATCAGTTTAGGAGAAGTGCGGGCAATGTCTCTTGATAATTGCTAACAAAGAGGTGGCACTTGAAGGGTCAATATTTTTGGTGAAGTGTTTGAAACTTTGAAGAATTGTTATCGGTCCTGACATTAAGTTGAACGAAAGGTTCTTATAAAGAAAAGAAAAATAAGGAGAATACTCCATGAGTCTCTCTCTCTCCTCCCCCAAAAAAAGGTTGTGCCATTAATCTTAAAGTTCTGTCTCATGAAAGTCGTCACAGTATCAGAGCAACTCTGGAGATAAGGTCAGGTAGTCTCCTTTTATTATGGTTGTGTAATGATCAATCACCAACTTTTTTACAATTATTTTAGAACGCCTAATTCTCCAACTCAATGGTCCTTTCTGCTTACACAAGGGGCACATTTCTCTAGGCTATAGTAGTGGCCTTTAGGAGGATTGGAAGTAGTGGCAAAAGTTACATTGGTGTTATTTTCATGGTTACTGGGATATCTTCTAAAGAGGGGTCGTTTATGCGCCTTGATCTCATTCTGGCACTTCGAAATGTAGGACCTCGGTTCCGAATAACTTGTTGATATTAAGAATCTCGATTTGTGAAATCAAAGATCTATCCTATGTTAATGGGATCCCAATCCATTTACCAAAAGTCATCGTTACATGAGTAAGCAGAACCATGATTCCACCAACATGGAATTGATTATCCCATGTTTTGGTTGCAAGTTTGAACATGACACTTTTTTTGGTTCATATACAGTGGAGTGTAGATCTTCATTTTTCTATGACCTACAAATTTTCTAAATGACATTATTTCCTATGTGTTTTACCGTTGACAACTTTATACGTCTTGTGAATTGTGACTTGTGTCTAGTTTCAAAGACAGGCAACAAGAGAGGGCAAGGAGAGAGAAGGAAGAAGTTGGGATGAGATGGAAAAATAGCCACATTGTGGTTCTATTAAGGAATGAGGTCACAAAAAATACGCTAAACTTCCTTAGGGCTAGTTCATTGGGCTTTTTCCACCTCCCAAAGGGCTTCTATCGCTTGATTGTTAGTGAACTAAATTGCTTCATACACGGGGTTGCCTTGTGGATGATGGAATAACAAGTATGCCTTATTAGGTATTGCATCATCGCATTGGCTTTCTAGTATCAATATTCATTTGTGAAATCATACTCCATTGATAAAACAAATTCTAATAGGCTTTCAATGACATGATTCTTGTTTATGTTGATACTTGGGTTTGTGAATATGAAAATAGTTAAAAATACTGTTAGATGGAACTCTCTCTCAGATTAAATTTTGAGAACCTCGATCCTAACATGGAGGAACGCAATCCCATTCCATAAGGGATCCGCTCCTTTGCAAATATTACTCGATCCCTAAAAGTTAGGGATTTTGATCCCTATGTTTGCCTATGTATGGAACTCGTTTCCTCGACCATGGAACTTCGTGGTTTCCTCGCTCTGTGCTTCCGCTCCCCATCCCAATCCTAGAGCTTTTTTTGCTCCAGCCAGCTAACTATGGTTATCTTGCAAGCTGGAGCTGTAAAATACAAAGGGAACTTTAGGTGATTCACCAATGGACTTGTCTACTCCAAGAGTGTGACGTGCATGATGAGCATAAAAAAGGGTTTGGGTACAAATGGGTATCGTAATTTAGGATTTACAAATCCTAAATGTTTCTAGGTTCCTACAGGGACTAGGATGGTTTCGGGCCTTTTGAAGGTTTCCGTGTCGGGGTATAATTGGGTAATGCAAGGTCCAAGGGTTAGGTTTATGGGAAGGGTTTGGTTAGGTCATAGTTGCTTGGATCTCCCAACCTATGTGGCTATCCCACTTCTTAATCTCGTTTTCACGGGAAAGAGATCATGAAAGGATCTCAATTTTTAAATTTAGGGATCTCGATTCCTCTATTAGGGATCTCAATGCCCACCTTAAAGACCTAGATTATGACCAAAATGATGATTTTCAAGCCAGCTCGTAATGCAATTGTATTTCTAATATAATTGCATTGCTTTCTGGCTATAAGCAAAGAGATTCCGACATTAAAGAGTATACATAGTCCTAGACTATAAGTACTCATTAAAGTTAGGAGTAAAATCCCAAGCGGTTGGGATCGAGATCCCAACAGGCCAGGATCGAGATCCCTAGCTTTTAGGGATCTCACTATAATATGCATTGTATGGACAACACTCAACCAGAGGGATCTTGTAGCCTATCCTGCTCTTGATTCAATCCCTATCCCAATAACTAGGGTTAGGTTAGGCCAAGTTTTAGGATAGGTTTTTATGGTTTCTAAAGGTGTTTGAGTTTTCTGGAATTTAATAGGTCCAGCAAGATAGGAGAATGATGGGATGGATTCTAGGGTTGAATTATTAGGGTTCAGTTTGAAAGGCTACATAGGGTGGCTATATAGTTAGGATAGCTTTTTGAGCTGGTTTATCAGGGTATGGAAAGGTACAGCTGGGGGTTAATGAAATAGTTTCAACAGGTAACGAATTTCGCTAAGAATCTTAGATGGGGATGTGTGACACGGGAAGGAAAGAAGAATGGTCTAACTTCTTGTGGAGGCTTTCCTAATCTTAAGCTAGATTTGTAAAATCACTCTCTATATAAAAGAATTAAGGAATCTCTCCTCTAAAGGTGGCCTCAACCACTCATGAAAATCCAAATGTTCTTTCTCAACTTAAATATAAATTGGTCATAGGTCTACAATGGGTATTTATATGGAATTCCAAGTTCTATTTTCCATGAAACTCTTGAAAGCTTTGAAAGCATAGAAAACAAACTCCTAAAGACTCTAGAAAACTACTCGAGAATTTGTAATCCAATTAGCATTGAACCTCTTGAAGTAACTAAAGTAAAAAACTAATTGAAATTAGAACAATATAATAATGAACAGAAAGGAACCTAATACACTTGGGAAAATAAAGTCACTAACTTTGTCATCATGCTTTCAACTTTGAAGACCGGAAATATTTGAATTGCAAAAAAAACTCATAGAGATAAGGGTTGTGGTTCAACTAGTTCTTTGATTTGAGCTTCAGATCACCCTAAACGGACATTTGGGTGAAAACTTATGCCTTCGGGAAATGAGTCTCGGATTCTCTTTGGCTAGGTCTTTTTTCATCAGGTATTGTCAATTGGCAAAGTAGGAGTTCCATGAATAATGGATGATCATATGCTTTTCAATCTTTCGATATAGTCCCTTATTTAAGCTCTTCATGTGGATTTATTGTTGGATTGATATAGGAGATTCTGCCTGGTCATAGACTTAATAGTGTTTATGATCCATCTTAAAATGCAATTTTTGTTTAGAAAATGCTTGGAAGGACCACCGAAGGGTGTGGAACCCTTCGAGAAGAAACAGTCGCTGTTGCAATGACTCTAGTGGGAAACAGAAGGGTGTGGAACCCTACCTTTAGAAGAAATTTCTCAGAAGAGGAAATCTCACGTTTCCTCTCCCTCTCCCTAATTCTTCAAGATTCCTTCATTCCTATCTATGGGAGGGACCAGTTGATATGGACTCTCACTCCCGCTGGATCTTTTACAGTGGCATCCCTATACAACGACTCATACAACCTCCCACCTTCCCTCTCAACCCTCCCTCGGTGTCATCAAAGGTGTGGAGTAAAATTGCCCCCCCCAAAGTGAAGTGCTTTAACTGGATAGCAGGTTCTTAGAGGGCCCTTACGGTGGATCAATTACAAAAAAGGGGAATTCCAATTCCTAACCGATGTGTCCTTTGCCACTGTGAAGAAGAAACAAACCCACACCTATTCCTCCACTGCAACCTAGCTTACGGCCTTTGGGGACAATTGCTGCAGCTATGTGGTATCCAATGGGTCTTGCCAGCGACAGTAAAGGAACTGTTACCGATGTACCCTGCCTTTCACTGGCCCAAGGCAGGGAGGATTATTTGAAAAGCTGGGGTGGCAGCAACTATTTGGGCGATCTGGAATGAGATGAACTCTAGGATTTTTCAAGGAAAAGCTACTGCTGGCCCATCACTTTTCCATAAAGTTACGTCCTTAGTAACTTTTTGGGCTTCCAATCACCGACTCTTTGCAGGAATCTCTGCTACTTCTTTTCTTCACAACTGGGGAAATATTATGAGCCACCGTCCTCGCAAGGCCAATCGAACCCATAGGTGGCATCCGCCTATCTATCATATCATCAAACTCAATTTTGATGGATGCTCCTTTGGTAACCCAGGTCACACAGGAGCTGGAGGGGTGTACACGGACCACCGCGGGCTATTCTGTACACTTAATCTGAATACTTAGGCACCCAAAATTCCCAACATGCTGAAGCAATGACCCTTCTCTTGGGTCTGAAAAGCTTCAACTCCTCTTGGGGACAAAAGCTTATTGTGGAAGGGGGGACGCTAGTAACATTATTTCCTGGGCATCAGGGGGGTCCCCTCCTCCTTGGTACCTTCCTCCCATTTTTATGAGATTGCTGACATTTGCAGGGATATGGACGTCTTCTGGACGCATACCTTGAGGACGTCAATCGACTTGGCTGACCTCTTAGCTAAGGACGGGGCTAGAGCGCACATTGAAGACACTGGAGGATAAAGGATCTACTGCTGCTGGCCATTTTTGTCTTGTTCCATAGATTTTTTTGTACAAAGGGACAACTTATAACCCTATTTTTTGTAAAGTCATTGTACATCTTGTAACTTTAACGCCTGCACTCTTATTTTTTTGGAATAGAGCAGGCTGACAACTGACCAAGAGGGTTCCCCTGCTTAGGGACCTTCGGCCTTAAAAACTTTTGTATTTTCTATTTTATATACTCAAAAATAATGCTTGGAAGGACCACAAGCTTTAGTTACGTCCCATACATGAACATTTATATGGCAATTCTCTATATAGTAGGGTATGAGTGAGGAACAAGAAAAACTCACTTAAATGAGGGAAAAGCAAGTGCCGAGAAAAATATGTGTAAGATATATATGTGTTCTAGTGTTCTGAAATCTTGACATGCTCTAGGCTCGTGAGGTGGTTGGAGCAGTTCCTATGTCTCAGCCGGGTGCCCAAAAAATGAAAAAGAATCCTAAAAAATTAGGGAAATTTAGAAAAGATAGGAAATTAAAAAGTAGAAAAATAATAAAAACAAAAAGCTTATATATGGTGATGAAAATTTAATTATGTTGGCATACACTAGATGATCAAATAAATATTGTTCAATTTTCAATATTCTAAATCTTGCAAATAAGAGATTTTGAATCTTCTTTTTTTTGTTCTTTCTTTGTGGAATCTAAGCCTTGGATTCGATAGATAATACAAGGATAGGCTTAGGGAAGAATTTTATGGGTGGATCAATTGAACCCTAGTTTGGAAAAGAAAAATCTCTCAAATCCAAGACTTTTTATTTGTTTTTTTTTTCAAAAATCTGATGTTGGAATTGATACAGGATGGAAAATCACGACTAGGAGTGAAGTTTCAGAGAGATCCATGCTCAAATGCTGGAGAAAATTGAAGTGTGGGACTTCTGCCTCTCCCCTTTTTCCATGGGAAAACCATTGGACTTTGTGAGTTGTTGTGAACTCGTCTAAGACTATCATTAACTTTCTTGGCTTGCTATATTACTTGGGCGAGTACTATTACAGTTATGTTCCCTAACTTCCAGATTTGGCAGCTTCCTGAGTTAGAACCAATGTTCCAAAAAACTCCGGGCAGCGCCTAGGCGTCTGCCGTTTGGGGGGGCTTCCAGGCCGCTTAGAATCTGGGCGGCCCAGGTAGAATAAAAAGCATAGGAAGTCATCTGATCCAACTATTTTAGGGTTAGTTTCTGTATAAAAACTAAAAAATCCATATTGAGACATATAACACATTAAGAATACATAATATATAGTCCATCCATAGTCCAATACTCTAAGAATACATTCCATCAATACATAGAAAAAATTAGGAAAAGATAATCCAAGACGTCAGTTCATCATCAAGAAATGAAATAAATAACACAAGACATATCAACTGTTCATGGTCCACAACTCCATATACACTCCTCCATACGCCATATCCATAATCCATACGTAGGTACATACACATAAATAAGAGGAAAAGAAAAAAGAACGAAATATTGACTTGAAAACTAAAGAGTCGTCAATCGTCACTCATCATTAGAAAAAGCAGTGTCAGCTGCGTCATATGCATCGTAGTCAAGCCCTTCATCGTTGGAATCATCTCCCTCCTCAACATAATGGTCATCCTCTTTTGTCTCTTCTGATTCTTCCTTTGCTTCCTTCTTTTCCTTCTCCACCCTTGTCCTCTGTGAAGAAGATCTAATGGCCTTAAGAGGGTCGGCTGCTATCCCTAAGGCCTCCATGACCATATCCCATGTCAATTCTTTATGCCCATCGACCTCATCATCGTCAACCAACCACTCCATAGCATTATTCATATTTTTTTATCTGAGGGGGTCTCTTTTATCTCTCTTAGCAAACCTCTCCTTCAAGTATCGATTGTGCTTCACATAAACTAGGTCATTGAGTCTCTTTGATTCAATCATGTTTCTTTTCTTTGTATAAATCCAATAAAAATAAAATGAAACTAGTTAGTACTGCAAATTTGCAATTGATATAGTAATCAATAATTGCTAACTAGTAACTATACGAATTAGAAAAATGTGAACTAATAAATTTAACTAATTACCATCTCAAAAGTGCTTCAATTTCGCTCACAGCCAGACGGGTAGTGGTTAGGCTCAAGATCCGAATGGCCAACTTTTGTAAGTTTGGTGCACTACACCCATGTTGGCTCCACCAATTGGCTGTAAATTGATTATAAATTACGATTATATATGAAATATAAAAAACAAACAATAAACATGAAACTTGAACTTGAGGACTGGTTAAGTATATTATTACTTGGATCAATTTTGGTCCTTTGTCTCACTGCCATTAGACTTCCAAAAGACTTCAGTGTGCACTTGTAACTTATTAGTTCATTAGTACATATAATGGTCTTGGATATCCTGATTAGGGACTGGCACATCCAGACACTTATTAAATTCAGTCATAATTGTGTCATTTGTGTGTATATCCCTATCAGCATAATAAGAAGCTAGGCTCAAAAAATAATTAGCTGCATGCAATGGTCGATTTAGTTGCCTATCCCACTTCTCATTAATAATCTTCCAAACTGGCTCATGGCAGCAGACATCATCATCCAAATTACGAACTATATCGCTCTTGCAGTTAAAACTTTCCATTGCCTCATATAAGTAGCCCATGGAGGGCTTATCACTGTCAACCATACAAAGGATTTTGACAAGAGAAAAAAATACCTTCAGAGTGCCCTCACCCCTCGCAAAAAGTCTTAGATAAGACTATCTCTCAGCTTTTTCCCTTTCTAATGCTTGGCCCACTTGCATGCTCTTCACTCATCAAAGGTAAACATCTACCTCAATTGGACTCTCCTTGATGCTAACTGTCGGGCAATGTATAGAGCCAACCTTGTTCTCAAAACCCTTCCCTCTCCGCACTTCCTCAGTGAGTCAACCAACTTTTGCGTTCCAGTTTCCAACTCGCTCCTTTCTTTCTTCCCCTAGAGGTGACAATGGGCTAGTGTGGCCACATTACGAAATGTGGCCCCAAGGTTGGCAACCAAGGCCCGAGGGGTATTTTCGGGCGGACCTGGCCCGGTCCTCTTTTCTTTCTTTTTTTTTCTTTTTTTTTTTTCCCAATTTTATTTGTCCTGGCCTGATAGGGGCTAGGGCCGGGCTTGGGCCAAGGCCTTTTTGGCCAGGTCAGGGCCAGGCTGGCCCTATGGGACTAGGGCCAGGGTTGACCCGCCCCAGGCCCAGCCCATTGCCAGCCCTATCTTCCCCCAAGCTATAATATGTTGCAGTCGCAAACCTCTAGTCAATCGAACTGAACCTAGGTACCAGCATATTGAACCTGCTCCACAAATCAAGTGTCCCAGCTGTTTGAAGCGAGCAAATGGATTCAACGTGGTAATAAACTCAAAACATTATTACGTTATGTAAATGGTGATGCAAAGTGCAAAAGATACATGGATGTTGATAACCTACTGGCTTCAAGATGCTTAGCTTTCATCAGCATGGTATTATCTATCACAAACCAGTTCAACTTTGTTCCCGTTGTTGTTATCGGTATAGAGAATATTTGTTTAGATAAATTACTAAATCTGCAAGAATTAGATTGGGTACTGAGATAAAAGTTTTCTGCTCTCTCTATCTCTTATCATGATTATTATTATTTTAAGCATTAACATTTGGGGTTGAGGAATTTGTTCCAAAAAATATATATTTGGGGTTTGCGGAATTTTCTGTTCTGATGATGGATTCTTGTTGCTTACTTCTCCTGTCTTTTAATATTTGTCTTCTCGCATTTATTAATTTGCATAATTTACATGTCTAGGAGATTGAATAATATATTGAACGCGTATTGATTTTTCAGGCTGGCCTTGCACTTGGGGATCTGAGATCCGTCAAGGATCTCTACGATTTTAAGACTCTTGCTGTCCTGTTTCTTATCGGCTCTGTATCCATATTCCCGACCATTCTGAAAAAGAAGCGGACATATGAATGAAGCCATACCTTTCTTCCCTTCTGACCATGAGAAAGTGTTTTATTGGATGGAATTAGTTACATGTGGGAGTGAGTTCCTCTCAATCTATGAAGGTACTGAACCAAGTGCCTTAATCAACGCAGCTTTAGGATTGACTCAAGATAATTTTCACTGGTATACATAATGGTTTTCTTTTTCTTCCGCTGTTATCCTTTTATGTTTCTTCCTCTTTGGTAGTTCTTACGGAAGGATGAACTAATTGTTGCAATTTTTTGTATGGTTTCTTTCTGTGCCCTATTGGGCTTTATTTAGCTGTAATCTTGAGGATAGGTAACAAATTGATGTTTCTTATTTGGGACAAGTGTACAATAGCCCCTACCATAGTCATATTGTCTCTTGGGAATTCTTCATCATCACATTTTCTTGGAATACATGTTTTAGATACCGCTGGCATGCTTGTGCACTTCCATGTGTGGTGCATGCACACACACAGTCCTTTTCATGTTTTTCCATGCGTGCTTTCCAGATGAACCCTGAAAGAATCATTGATGTCAATATTTTTATTCACCCAAAAAATCTCCATACTTATCGAATGTGGGTGGGCTCCTAGTACATTTATCTGGCCTGGGGGCAATTGCAGCATGTCTTTTGGGTTCTGCACGGGTTCGGCACCTACTTAGAAAGAAAGGAAGCGATAAAAACTGAAGGAAATTGTGATGTGGTGGTCAGCAAAGTTCTGATTGTTTATGAGTGCATTTGGCTGTTATCAATTTATTATCTTTGAGGATATTTGGCGTACTGTACTTGAATAACTTGAGAGATTTTCAAGAAGCTTGAGAAGTTTGTGACATATTTTTATCAATCTTTAATTGGACTCCAGGAGCATTTCCTTCTCAAGCAATGTCCTTGTTCCTCTATGAAGTAAAATAGTGAAATTCAATCTCGCATTTCGGAGAGGATGTGCCAGGAAATGAACGTGCTTGTTACTAGATTTGGGTTGTTTGTGCCTTGCATGGGCATACCCGGATATAAACTTGAGCTACCCACTGTTCAAATTATTTGGATAACGGTGATTGAAAGACTCATCTTTCATTCACTTCTGTCCATTTTAGTTGGATGGTGAGGGCATTTTTGCACAGTAACCATGTTAAAAAAAAAACTCCATTACATCTAATTTAGAGCTTTTTAAGAGAAAAGTACCCTATTTTTAAGATTTTGGATTCCTAAAGTTCCTTTTTCCGACTTTAGCTCTGCCCTTGCATCTAACCTCTATTTCTCCTTTGAAAGGATCCCCTTTGAAGCTGTATTGATCTCTCCAACCTCTTGTGTTTTCTTTCATACGACAAAAGTACTCGAAAAAAGAGTGAAGAACAACAGCATACGGTGTGATATTCTATCTTAAGCGAGGGGTTTGTAAGGAGCCAACAGCCAGGGCTTGCTAGTTTCTTACAATCTTACCCGTGAAAAAATGTTCTCATTGGTTGATCAAGTTTGTTGGCATATTTATTTATTCTAGTTTTGGTTTAGGTTCTAATGGATAGTGGTTTGTTGTTGTTGAGAGTGTTGGAAACAAATTTAAGGGGGTCTAGTAGAGGGTCATGGAGTTTGGGCCTTGCATTTTGCAGCGCTGATGATGCATAGGAGGGGTGTTGGGCTGCTACATTGGGAGGAGGATGGGAGATCATTGGATTGGATTTGATTCTGATTTATGAATAGAAATGGGTTGTGGGGGAGTTAAAAGAGATGAAAGAGTGGGCGATTTCCTTGAGTGAGTGAGAGAGAGAGAGAGCTCATTTACATTTTCTATGGAGGAAGTATCATTACAATAAGATAGAAAGAGAGTTTGATGCAGAGATGGGAGAACCTATTCTTCAATCGACCAAAGTTACCAAACCTTACGGGACCTTTGATAATGGAGCACTTTCCCCAAGTTTTCTCTTGTTTGAGAACATTTGGGGAAAGTCGAAACTTACTTTTTCCCCTCCTTTTAAGTTAAAGTGGCAGCCCAAACGGACCCTGCACTGCCACTCTTTGAAGAAGTTAAAAACTATCTCAACGAAGCCCGAACACTGAAGCTCAACCCTATCGCAAGCCGCTCGCCCCACCAAAGCTCAATGCGGCAACTCTTCTCCTCGCCTCAGGTCTCTTGTCCTCATCATTCCCATTGCTGCAAAGAGCGCTCATAGAAAGCTACAATGAGTTAACAATTTTTGTTTCTTTTTAGAGCTAAAAGGAAATGAAGAATGCAGATTTACGACAAGAGATTGTAACACACATATTTTGCAGAACTACATCCAATTGAGGACAACACAAGCCTCTGTTGACGAAATATCTTTTCAACGTCTATTTCTTAGACAAGTGAGTAGTGACATGGAGATGAGCGCAAGAGAGGAAGAAGAAGCGGTGATGAAAGTGAAGAGGATGATGAAATGAAGGAATTTGAGCAGCTGAATTCCCAAAGTAGAGTTGACCATAATTTTGGGGTAAAACTGAGGGATGAAATTACAATGTAAATATGAGTTGCATGCCGAAGACATCACGATGATTAGTGTATTATATATGTGGGTGTGCTATAGGTGTCTTCTCTCTCTCTCTCTCTCTCTAGGTGTGTCTTCTCTCTCTCTCATTCACATGTATTCCATAAGACCTTTGTAGTGAACTTTTGATCTCTCTCTCATTCACATGTATTCCATAAGACCTTTGTAGTGAACTTTTGATATAGTTAGGTACTTATCTTTTCTGGTGTACGCGTGTGGTTGAAATTTGATATTTAACTGAATGTCTTTCTCTCTTAAGTTACATAGATCAGTATCATCATCAAAGCTTTTTCTAACTAATTGGGGTCAACTGTACGAATCTCTGCTCTATCAAGGGTCATAGCCTCAATGAGCCCATTAGTCTACATGTTTTCTCACTATTTTCAACTATATCCTTTTAAGTTTATCCCGTGCCCTTTTTAACTTTCCACTTGAACTAACTCGTACCTCCTAACAAGTATTTTATTGAATCTGCATCACACATGGCCAGCCCACTTAAGTCTACTTCCTCTCATGTTATCACCTATTGGTGCCACCACCTAGATTTTCCCAAATGTATATATTTCGAATTCTATCTCTTATTGTCTTACCACTCTTCCATTTTAACGTCTTCATCTAAGCTACACTCATTTTATGGGTATATTGTTTTTTTACTATCCAACATTTCACGCCATAAAGTAAAGCTGGTCTCACTGTTGTCCTATAGAACTTCCCATTCAACTTCATTGTTATGCAGTGATCACATAAAACTTCAGTTGCACATCTCTACTTCACCCACCCAACTCTAATTCTATGTGTGACATCTTCCTCAATCTCTCCATTTTCCTGGATTATCGACTCAAGATATTGAAAGTGCACTCTTTTAGTATTTTTTGGCCGTCAATCTTAACAACCTCTTCATCTCTATTCCAATTATTACTAAACTCGAATTCCATATACTCTGTCATGCTCATTTTAAAACCTTTAAATTCTTGAGCATTCATCCAAAGTTTTAACTTTGTGTTGACGCTATTTCGGGTCTCACTGATCAAAGCCATGTCATCTACGAACATGTACCACATTCATCAGCTTGTAGGTGCCTAGTAAACCCATCCATAACTAAGATAAAGATGTATGAGCTCAATGTTCACCCTTATGTAAACTTGTTGTCACCGAAAACTTATCTTGAGGTACATAGATATAAGATCAAATCTCAATCTTAACCATACATTGTAAGAAGTGCGTTTGATGGTTTGTAACAACAAAATCTTATTCAAAATATGCATTTTGCTCATCAAATCAATAAAATACATAATGAATAATTAAAATAGGCCTTTCTCAAGTAGTTTTCTTCTTTCCAAACACCAAGTATCATCAAACAAGGGTCCAAGCTTTCATTCCACCAATTTTCACTTTACTCACGGATTCTAAGAAAGTCTACAGCAAAGATGTTCTTAAGAAAATTATAAAGAAAGTTATCAAACACACTCTCAGGAGGCTTTGTTAGATCTGAAATTTAGAAAACACCTTATATTCACTAGATGAGTATTTTTTTAGAAGGAAAAAAAAAAGAAAGAAACTTATTTTGAGATTCGAGACACTTATATCTAACTATTTGGAAATGGGCAATGCTAGTTATTGGGATGGCTTTATTTTTCTTTTTAGCCCTCGTATATCGGATAACTACATCTCCAAATTTAGGGTTCAAAAAAATACTCCTAGGTAGGTTTCTGCTAGAGGCGGCATGCATACAATTTGCTCTTGTGAAGACACATAATCTTTTTGGCTGTTATGTATTTTTGCATCGAAAAGTATGGAAATGTATACCAGTATTTTAAGTCTCAATGTTGAACTAGTGATCCACCAACTCCAAGCTAGGTTCAAGCAGGGTTGGTTTGGCAGTTTCTATATAGAGCCCACAA